GTCAGACCTCCCTCCTTCAGCCTTTAGGGTGGACAGACCCGTCACTTCTGTGTTCTTTAGCTGTCTTGTTTTTATTGACTTGTAAAGCACTTTAAGAGGACTGCATCAGAGAGGTGCTCTGTGAATAAACTGCTCTTTACGTTTCAACAACAAGCGTGTTGCCTGATTGCATCAACAATCCGAGAATATAAACTGTTCAGAAACATTTGACTGCAGTATATCTACTCAAGAGATTTAAAGAAGAGATGATGTATATTGGGGAGGTCTGATATTTAATTAAAAGAAGGAAAGACAGCAGAACAGACAGATCAGGTCGGCCATTGTCTGCACCAGCATTAATCAAAATGTCCTCTGTTATAGTGAAGAGATCCCTCCAGTCTGAACAGTCTACTCAGGAAAAACCAGCAGTCCTCTGATTTAGAGAAGAACTTTCATTGTTATGATCCTTATGGAAGTAATGAGTCTTATTTGCAGGCCGCATAGAAAACAATATGTCCCATGACACTTCAGTGATGGAGCAGCTCCAGGAATAATAATAAAATGCAAATGAAACTGCATTGGTGCCCTCTGCTGTTGAGCCACCATCAATGCAGGAGCCTGTCACAGTCCTACAGTCAGGGACACAGTGAGAGCACCCAGGGGCCCAGGGTCAATGCTTTATTGTCTGTACTCTGATTATAGTAGCATATTATATACAATAAGATATTATGTGGCATATTTGAAATCACGCTCTTTTTGTCTTGAGCAGATCACCACTATGTCAGCAAAGTACAGACTGACTAGACAAGACAAAACTACATTCCATCTCCTGGCATACTTTTGAAATACATGGATGAAAATGGTGTTTTTACAATTACATTGTTGTTCTCTAAAAATATTATTTACAGCAATATAGATTTTGTATTACATGTGTATGTATTTTCAGCATGGGACACCTAATGAAAGGATTTGCACAAGCTGCAGAATCTAATTATTATAACGTCTCATTCACACAGAGAGTCTATGGGGGTGTGTTCTTTAATCCTCATAGCTTAAGTCCTGTTATCGTCTCCTTTGACAAGTTATGACTCACAGATAAAGACACAAAAGCTGAAGCTTCTCTTATTCCTGTAGTGCTGTGGCCTCCGTTCCAGAAAAATACTTTTCTTAACTTTTGTTTTTACTTTGAGGACTGGGTGTTCCAATCCCTCCAAGCGTTTGATGTGGACCGATGCAGCGGAGGACCCCCCTTTAAAGACCGAATGCAGGGCCAACAGTGTTCCTTGGATACCCAACTGATCCATTGTTTAGCTCATTAAGAAAGGTTGAAGGTCTGTTAATCAGTCAAATTAGTCAAAATCTGTTTCCATTCAATTCTGACAGCTGTCATTGTGACCACATCACTTGTTTAAGATGCTAAGATTTTGTGTGAAAATGTCACCGCAAATATGCAGCTACTTTCTTTCTGCAGTTCAGCTATTTCCATACCAACCGTGCTGGCACACATTACAAATGTAGCCTATATTTAGCTCTTATTAAGTTAATTCATAAAGAAAATAGGCCACACGCTGTGTCCCATCTCCTCAATTCAAACCAGCACATAAGGCTAACTGGTAGCTTTTACTGCTAGCTACTTATTCCTCTCTGATGCCTTTGCCAGTGCAATACGGTATAACCATGGCAACCAGCGTCTGTGCCCTGCTGGGCTGTGTGAGCTATGTTGCCGTAGAAATTGGAGGCCTCTGACGGGCCAGATCTCCTTTATCTCCTTTTCTCCCCCTTTCTCCCCCTTTCTCCCCCTTTCATTCTCCTGTGTGGAGAAGAAGCAGCTGCTTGCAGAGACTAAAGAGTTGGTGTTTGGTCAAGATGCATCACACTAATGATCACGACTGGTAAGGCAAGCTTTGTCAGGCAACAGTGTCTCCTCAACACTTGACGAGCTGACACAATATGTGCATTTACAATCTCATTCTGGCCCTTTGTTCTCAACAGAATACGAGTTATTTTACTCCTCAAGTTCAATTTTCTCTCCTGGATCCAAAAAGGCACGTCTGCACCGTGTTGTTGCCGCTCTTAACTTTGACTGCAGCAATAGAAAAGATGGAGTCATCTTCATAAGCGGTCCCAATATGGCCACAGGTCTGAGACATCGCAGATGAAGCACTCGGAGGGCTCACAGACTGTTGGGCTTGTTGTGAGGTCGTTTCTTTATCGTGCCGCTCTATATGAAGGACTCTCTTTGGTGACACACTTTGTAGCGCTGACATCGATTTAAGGGTGACAAGCTAGAGGATCGAGGAGACAAGGGGGAAAAGGCAGAAAATCAGGAAAAGAGAAAGGCAATGGAAAGAAATGTGTTAGTTTGCACGATAAGCAGGTAGCAGGGACTGCATGTAAAGTTAGAAAGTGGAGAAGTGAGCGAATGGAGCAATAATGTGGCAGAGGCGATGTCGTATATGACACCAAAGTAAACTCATTTTAGATGGCCTCCGCTCATCACCGCTTTTCAGAAGCTTTGTAATCAAGCAGCATCTGTATAAAACTAATAGATCCAACAATGAATGTCTTCTGTGATAAGTTATCCATTCATCTGTGTTGAAAGGAGCCGTTGTTGTCGTTAGCCTTTAGCTGAAGCCTATCGAGGGATAGATGATGACCCATGATGCATTGGGTCGTGTCTGTATCAGAGGATGTGTTGCTGACTGGGTGTGATCTGAGACCACGCACAATGGAATAACATGACATCCATCCTAGTGTCATTCAGATCTGTGCTGTTTGAGCAGCTACTGAAAAAATATATTCTAAAACGTCTTGAGTGTAATAAATAATGTGTGGACTATCCTTTGCACACGAGTATAGTATTGTAAGTTGTGCGTCCAGGACAATCCATGGATACACACAGTTTAATCTCTTTTTTTACACATTCAATGTGACTTCTTTAATGTTAATAGTTTTTCATCTGCAGGCCACAATGTTTATTTTTCCCCCTGATCACCAAGGCATTTAAGAACAACTTTCAAAATCCAAAAGTCTTGTTCACTGTTGTGTTTTATGGGATTTAAATATTAAAATTATTATATTTAAAATTAATTTAAACATTATAAGAGGAGATACATTTTGAAATCTTGAGCTCCATAACAGAGTCATTTCAATTTGTTATTCTAGCTCTAAAAGTACAAAAGCAATAAAAACACTTCATTTGTTCACCTCGCATCCGTACCATAATAACCGTATTTTAATGAGCAGCTGAAGTCAAACGTCAGCTAGTAGCGTCACAGTTTTACACTCTGGCTCATGTTATCACAGTTTCATAAGCGTGTAGGAGAACTACGGTGGCCTTCAGGTAATGTAACAACACGAAAGGCTCTCTCTGTGTTTGGTTTGTCCGTTCTGGGCTTCTATAGAAACATGGCGGTGCAACATGGTGGACTCTTTGAAAAGGACCTGTTGCCTTTATGAATATGAAGGGCTCATTCTGAGCTAACAAAAAACACACATTCACTAAGGAAAGAATAGTTAGGAATATTATATTATATTTTTGCTAATCGATCCCCTGCAATGCTACACACTGTCCCTTAAGGAGTACGTGTCTCTGTGAAAGTCCCACCTCTCACTTTATATTTATAAAGCTCTCGGCTCTATTTTTATAATAAATACATATTATAATAGGTACATAAAACATAGCATTTCTACCAGTAGAGACACATTTTTCAATCTGAATTACTGTATAAAATCTGAAAAGTCTGGAACATGAAAAAGTCCTCGCTGACACAAACAGCTTATTTTCTCAATTATTCTGAACCCCTCAGGCTGTAAAAAGCCTAATCCGTCAAATGTGCTCACATCTGAGAGCTGGATGTCCCAGGCAGCAAAGATAGCCATATTATAATCTTTCCCAGTCTGAGTGCACTCAGTGTGTGTGTGAACTATTATGTGACTGCATGTGTTTGCTCTCGTAGGGCCGAGGCTTTCAGACAGGAGGTGTAAACACCCACCACAGACTGAAAACAGGGATTATGAAGATTTTGAAGCACAGGCTGGGAGGGAGGGAGGGGTCAGCATCAAGTTTGTGATCGTTTGGCTTTTTTGCATTAGCATCTTTTTTTATATGTTGTCTTCTATTGTTATTTGAAATTAATTTCAAGAGGATCCTATACTGTGGATGTTATTTTCATATTTTCAACTGTGCCAGTAGTTTATATTCTGTGTTTGTGTGTGATCTCCTTCTGCTGCTGTGCAGTCAGAGCCTCCAGTGGAACTCATTGCAATCCTCACATCTTCTCCTCATGTATCAGAGACATCGACTCTTAGTGTCCAATAGTCCTTACTTAGATTCAACTTGAAGATTGGAGGGCCAATAACTTTATGAACATTCTTGAGTGGCTACGTAACATCTTCAACAATTAAAATGAATTTTGAATTCCTTGATTGCTCTGTGTTATAAAAGTGGCAGAAAGTAATGACCTGGAACAGCAGTAGGTTATAAGGATCTTTTATTAAACTTGTTGTTTTCTGACACGTTCTGCTTTGTTGTTTCAAAATAAGAAAGACAGTTAAATAATGACAAAGGCTTTGGAAGCAAATGCAAGCTGGATTTTAAAAGCGTATCTGTTTTTTATATCATCTAATTTTCAAAGCTAGTCTCGAATGCTTCAGAGTGTGATTTTCATTCATTTTTGTCACTGTGCAGTTTTACATACAGGTTTACAACAATGCATTCTGGGTATGTGATTCCACTCTGATCTGTGGCAGAATGAGCACAGTTGATATAATCAGGATTTAATGTAGAGGTAGACCTATAAACAATGTGCCACCTTGCTACACACACATCTCCTTCCCCCAAACCTCCTCCCTCCCACCCCCTCCTTCTGTCCTCATGAATATTGGGGAATTAATGTGTGTAGGGAGGGAGGAGGGAGGAGGCAGGGACAAAGGGAGAACGAGAGGAGAGTGAGGGAAGAAAGGGAGGGGGGGCTAATATCGTCAGAGGCCTGGCAGTGCGCAGCCTCAGTGTGAGCTGGGCTGGCTGCCTATTGATTGGAAAACAACGGACTGTGGGAGGACACATAAGGGTGGCTGTGGGCTAACGGGTGAGGGAAGGGATACAGACCGAAGCTCACACCGCCGTCTTCACGTCCCTGATTCTGTTTCTCTGGCTTTCCCCCTGGAATGACTGTGACTGCTGCTGCTCGTCGGTGGGTTTTGCAGCGGAGGGAGGCTTAGGCACAGATTCTCCTCTTCTGAGAAGATCCTGCCGACACACCAAACCAGAACAACAGCGGCACATCTACTGCAGGTAATCTGTTTTCCTGTTCTACGCGTCATCCTGCTGGTCCTTCTCCCAGCCCTGACCTCCCTGAGGTCCTCCTTGTTGTGCATCATTTTCCCTCCATCCCTGCCTTGTAACCATGGTTTCCTCCATCTCTCCTTCTTTGCTCTTCGCTGCTCTTTTCTCCCTCCCCCACTCTCCTCTTTTCTTTTTTCTCCCTCTGATGAGCTGATGACATGCACTTGCTTGATTTCCATTCCTGCTATGGCGGCCAGAACAATGATTTGAATTGAAATCTGCTTCAGTTATATTTGTGTGGGACAGAATGATTCCACAGGCATTTTCAATACAAATATGATTTTGGTTAAGCAGGGGTCATACTAGATGTGAACAATGATTTCATTTCATATTCATTCGCAGCAGATTGATTTAAATAGCACTTGTATATGTGTCGGCATTGTTCTTGTACAAATAAGATTCTTTATTCAGAATTAAATAAACCAACACGTCAAAAGATGGACTTTCTTCATATGACAAGCATGATGGTGTCATCAATGCTTTCCAGATCTGCAGTGGAATCGGTGTTGGATGTGTTGTGTGGTCATGTAGTTGTGCTCACCCCTCCCACGGAGTGATGAGTGTTTTGGCTCCATGCCTTAAATGACCTCTGATGAGCCCTCGTGATTGGCTCTTTTTTATACCTGCGTTCTTGTGGAGCACAGAGACGCACCTGAGACCACCACCACCTCTCGCTGTGAAGGTCACATACCCAAAAAAAAAAGGTTGACACACATCCCAAACACACACTATTGCAGACATTCGATCCCTGCACATCTCAAACAACATGCTGCTGTCGGCTTTAATGTGGATGCTGTGATTCCACTCCCTCTCTTTATGCTAGAAGAACATATCCCAGAGTCAATGGAGCTAGCAGTAAATAGACAGGATGCAGCATGACTGAGTGCTGTTAGCAAATTCAATTTGTGATTTTTTCACCCTGTCAAATTTTCAAGCAACAGCGCATCAGTGCCAAAAGTCCCTGTGGCAAGGTTAGAGTCTGCCGCTAATGCTCCTTATTTGAGTAGACCAAATAACCTTAATTGGATCTGTTGACGGACATGATTCAGGATTTATTCAACATGGAGTCACTTTCTCGGCAGAGACATTACAGATAAACTCTAAGACAAAGATGAAGCAGACGCAATTAAAAAAGGAAACACAGCAGTTTGGAGAGGACAGAGCTGTAGGGAAAGAGTGGACGAGACTCTCAGCACTTTGCTGAGTGGAGTGATGGGAGGAAGAGGCCTGCACAAGCTTGTTTTTAAATGGGCTCCTCTGTACTCACCCATTAGGCCAGGCCACGGTCCAGCAAAGCACCAAGGAGGAAGTTTAGGCTTCAGTAGTGTGATGACGCTGTGTCAGACAACCTGACCGAGGTACAACTTCTCTAAAATGTCTGACTGCAGCATGAAGTCCTGCACAAGAATGATGCCGCTTCAGTTTGCAGGTTTACACCCATTCAGGCTGTAAGCTTACAGCTAAGGTTACATTTCATTTTCAATTACAAATAGCTCAAGTGGCAAAATGGAAAAAGTGTTTCAGGGCATTATTTCATTGGTATGCACGATCAATATTCTATTATGATAAAACCATCATTAAATTAGATGGAACCTATCAAAACGTTATAAGCAAAGACTCATCATTTTGGAATTGGGAAGTTTGGAAACAAGGAATATCTTTACCAATAACAGGCCTCGAGACTTCTTGGCTCCCCATGTGGTGATATGTCCCAGTAGAACCATCGGAGCTTCTGTGGAGATGGAACTTGATTTGGTATAAAATCAGAGGGGTGGAACATATTTATAATGATGACCAGAGTGTTTCCTCTAAACTCTACTCCAGTTTATTGAAGTATTAAAGGTAGCAAGTCCATTCTTACCCCAAACATGTGTGTACGAGTTCAACAAGAACTGATATGGATTTGTTTTACTGCTAAATCAATAGACCATGGGACGATAGTTTCACGAGTGTAAATAGAGAGAATGTGTTGTGTTTTTTAATGTGGGAGTCCTGAGTTGTCCTCTGCACATACCTGAGAGTATGAACTCCTTTGTCTGTTCACCGTGGGAAAGAAAAAAGCTTCCCACCAGTTCATTAACTGTAATTATTGAACAGAACCAACTAAGAATGAAACCACTAAGATTTCATCATTTCAATATCCTAAAGAAGAAGAATCTTTTTTTCACACTTACATTTAAATATCTCCACCATCTAGCTCCACCCATTTTAAACACATTCATAACTAGACATCACCATACCACCACTAACACCAGAAGTATATCAGAAGGAAACGGTAGGACTTTAAACAAACTGCATTCTCAAGGCACAACCCTGTGGAATTCACGATTTCAAAATGGTCTCTATTACAGTCAAGTCCTGGATAAGAATTGTAATGGTGACACCGACTAGTCATTATTTATGAACTCAAGTCAATGCTGTAAAGGTTTTCTGTTGTTTGTTTCATCTGAATCTTCGTTAGTGTGTCTGTTATAGACGTGTACAGTACATCGGACACTGCTCCGGAAACTCCCTGTTCCTTTCCACTTGTCCCTTACAAATAAACTAATAATTGAAAAATGAATACACAAAGGATGCATTAAAAACCAAGCTAAATGAACTTGGACCTGCTGATTTCCTGTCTCATTGTAAGGTGCTATATTTAGGTTTCATACCTTTTCGATTATGTTTAGAAGTCATTTTCTGAAGTGTGTACCAGAACCTCAAAAGTGCTTTGGGGTGTATAATTGTGATGTAAAAATGTATCATGGGAAGTACACTAACATTTGCATCTGATACTTAAAATGAGATTGAAGATGAGTCCATCCCTCTGAAGCAGAATCATTCTCAGAGCAGCATTATAATTATCTGACTCCATTTATGACACAATTTATTGAAAGATAGATTTTTACACCCAGATATATATATATTTATTTATCAAACCCCTGCAAGGAACACTTGAGCAGCCATAAAGACGATCCTTACTGTGATATACTCTACACTATGACAGTTCATCCTTTCATGTCAGAATCTTGGAAACCTCATCCGTTTAAATCCCAGGAGACGTAGTTAATTAATGTGGTTTACCAGTAGAGCCAACTGGTCCGGTCCCCTTTGGGACCTGGTCCCCTTCTGGCACATCTACCTCCATCTCCTATTTGTGTAGACAACATGGTGCCATTCCACATGAGGTGAGGCAGGCATGATTGAGGAGACTCCAGATAAATCCTTGTGGTTGTTGGTGGATCGAACAGATGAGGACTTCTGAGCTCTTTCTCATCAGGTCTTTCCCTTTAAAACACATTTTCTGAAGCCAGTGGTGTTAGGTCTTTACAACCGGCCCAGTGCACGTTATTATAGCGGCCCTGGTAACGTGCTTCTTCTTCTATTTGTAAGGCATGACTGCTCGCTCGGCTTGCAGATGTGCTCAGCTTGCCAGTCTTGCCAGATTTTGCCCCTGAAAGCTACAATCTGACAATCTCAATATGACAAAAATACCAAAATAAAATAAAACTAGTCATTTAATTGAATAGTTCACTTTACAGTTTATAAATAGTTTTTATAGTTTATGTAGAACATCATTGTGTTATAGATTGCTACCCACTATTTTACCCCAAAATGCAAACCATGGATGGAGAAGGTTTTGCCTTCTAGGAAGTTAATAGCAAATGGCCCCAAAGGGAAACTTACAAGTTTGTCCTTGGACACAGTTGCGTTACCAACACAATAGTTTGGATGGATTAGCCAATGCATTGTTGGACCTCACTATTCCACATTGCCTCTGTATTGCCCATAAGTGTATTCCTCTGGCTGCAACAGTTGCAATATCTCATTAAACAGCTGGTGATGACATCTGAAACACTAGTTTTATAAGCTGTGCTGACTTAGCAAACAAAAGTGCATCAAACACTACAGTATATGCCCACTCTCTCTCTGTGCAGGGCTCAGAGATTAACAGACGGGGGTCACCATGGAAGCCCCTCTCGTGTGTTTGGATGAGGAGTTTGAGGACCTCCGGCCCTACCGCATGGATGAGCTGGACCACCCGGCGCTCAAACACACCTCTTACTCCACCACCACCACCGTCCCCCTGGCCTCTATCACCCGCGAGGACTTCTCAGAGCTGGAGAACTTCTCTGAGATGATGAGCTTCAAGTCGATGGAGGACCTGGTGAATGAGTTCGACGAGAAGCTCAATGTGTGCTTCCATAATTACAACACCAAGACGGAGGTCCTGGCGCCCATACGCAACCAGTCGCACAACCAGGAGGATGAGCAGAGGCTGCAGGATGAAGAGTGAGTGGCCACAGTTGATGTTGTTTGTCAAAATATTCATCGTATTTTGTGACATTTGTCAGTATGTTAATATGTATTTTTAAGCCTTCAATGTGCATAACTGAGGTCTTAATTGATCTGATAATGCTCAGTCTGAACTGGCACTTCTACTTAATCAAAAAGCATTTGCATCAGTATTCTTGGCTTAAAAATAGATAACTTGACAATACAAACAGTATCTAACAGTATGTTCCAGTATTTTCAACAAAATACCTACATTTGGTTGCATTTGGGCTTTGTGATGCAGCCTGGAACAAAATACAGTGATCAAAATGACCACAAATATAGAGTCATGTTAATTGCACACTAACATAGGCATCAATACCATGCACAACACACCCTCAAGTCCCAAAACAGTGGCTTAGCACGTCCCACATGACAAAGGCCTAAATATTTCCACACACAGACCCGGTCAATCAGCAGCATGACCCCACCCTCCCCGGCTCCACAGTCATGGTGAATTATTCAATGTGCAGCGCTGTACGCCTCAGTTAGCTTTGGCTCTGTCGGTGTGTCTCTGTCTCTGCCTCTCCACCAGCTGACTGCCAGATCCTCCTCCTCTCGCTAGCAGGCTCTGAGGCAGAAACACACACGTCTTCACACTGTGGGGATATGAATCGTGCTAAAAATAGCCCGACCGTAGGTGTAAGAGGAGAGCTTTTCGGATGGGAATCACATGATTGGTCAAACACAATTAAATTGCTTTTAAAAATAGTTTGTATTGATGACTAGAGCTTTGACTGAGTAGACCACGGAGCTTTAGGAAACCAGTACAGATATGTCCCAGTCAAACATAACAACTCTTGTCATTAACAATGACTCATTGTTCTTCCCTGTTCATAACGATTCTCATAATCCATGCTGTGATTTCACATCAAGTGAGTCTCAATCACTAGATATTTATTCACCTCAAGCAGCTATTAATAGAAACTAAGACCGTACTGATGTTCATAACATGGAGGCATGTGTTATGGTAAATATCTAGTCTGATTTAAAGACTCTTACAGACCCACATAGATAATCAGCAAAAATGTAAATCTGCTGTTTGGCTGAAACCAGTCTGTCGCTCATTTTGGCCTAATCCCCAGTTGCTGATTTCTCTTCAGGCTGAGGGCCAAGACATACAGCAGGACAGCTTTGTGACATGGGGTTCCAGTTCCTGCTGGCCACCGTGACCAAACACGTCCCTGTGTTACGCATGTTCTTCGTGTGTTGTTGTGGTTAGTTTAGTGGAGATTACTGATTCGATTTTTAAAAAATGTCTTTTTATGAAGCAAGTGACATTTTAATTAACGTGTTTAGTTTCAAAAATGATATGTTTGAAATATACTCAGTTAGATGAAAAAAACAATTTCATTATCGTTCTTTACACAGTATAAAAAGCTACAGCCGGCATGTTAGCGTAGCTTAGCATAAAGACTAGAAACAGGGGGACAGCTAACCTGGCTCTGTCCAAAGATAAAAAAATCCAGCCATGAATAACCCCCCATAAAACCACACATTCTAATTTCACAAGTAAGCAGATGTGTTTAGCTTTGGACTGAGCCAAGCAACTTTCCCACAATTTCCTGTTTTTATGCTAAGCTAACTGTCTTTAGCTACATGTTAAGCAAACAAAATCTTCTCATCTAACTCTCAGAAAGAAAGTGACGTTTTCTCATGTCCAGAACTGTTGAGATAACGTTTTACTCAGTTGTGATGACTTTTCTACTGTTAGTTCATATTTTTTATTCTAGTTTCACTATTTTATCAGCGGTGGTACTTCTGTCAAGCTGATAAAAGTTAAGAATAACTATTGTATGTGCAATCTGGAGCAGCTGTGATTGTTTTTTAGAAACAAATCATTTGGTCTGTGTATGATTTGTTTTCTTTGTGTGAACTGGGTTCATTTTATAGCACTGTTCCATACAAACTGCCGTAATGTTGTGGAATATTTCTTATGACTAGTCGGGAGAAGAAAGTGAAGGTTTTCTATCAATATAAAGTAAACAGAGTTTTGATGAATGATCAAGGTTTGTAAAGTCAATTTATTTGCTTGCAAGCAAAGAGAACAGTCTCACAGACACATTGCAGTGATCTGTAAGAGTGGTCTACCTAACAGTCACAATGCATGGACATTTATGCTCAGACAGCTTCCTGTTATCTGCTTAGCTAACAAGAATGCACAAAGAACACAATAAAAGGCAGGTCATCCTTCAAGCCTTAGTATACTTCATTTAAGACAGTCAGGAAGATGCTTTATCTCCTGTTTGCAAATCCCTTTGTTCACAGTTTGCCTTACAATAAACCGTTTAAACACACAGCAGATGCTTCCTTTGAAGCCACTGTGACATTGTTAAAATGACTATTGCAGAGACAGAATAGACATTCTTTACCCTCACACATCATATATGCATGCAAAGGTTTACGCCTTCACAACTTCAGATAATGCGTCACAAAGGAAGTCAAAAGTATTTCAAACAGAGGATCTCTGTTAGTCAAGGCCTCTCTGTGTCTCTGTCTTACGAAGAAGAAAGAAACAGTGCACAAGATAACAGATACGAAGAAGAAAGAAACAGTGCACAAGATAACAGATACGAAGAAGAAAGAAACAGTGCACAATGATAACAGATAACAAGACACCTGGATACTAAACTAATTAAAGTCATCTACTGAAACTACAGTTTGGTGTCTGCTCTTTTAGGACTTACATTCTTTAAACCTTCACATAAGACTATGACATATTTTCCCATTACAGTAAAGGGGAATTACACGTTGACATACACATTTAAGGAAGCAAAATGGAACAATTACAAAATTCCACAGCACAAAAGGAATTCTCTGACAGGGAAATGTTTCATAAGATTAATTTTATTTCCATTCTGGACATTTGTTCAATTCAATTCAATTTATTTTTGAATAGCCCAAAATCACAAATTACAAATTGGCCTCAGAGGGCTGTTATTGCTTCATTTTCATCTCAGAGTGTATTGAAAAGTTGACCCTGTTTATGTGCTGGTGCACGCAGTAATGACATGCGGGCATGGCTGGTGAGGTCAGCGGTTGGCTGAATGGTGTCCAGTGTGTGTCCGGGTGTGGGCAGTGTCACTGGGAGCAGGGCGGCAGGCCTGAGCCAACCTCTTAGCGGAGGAGGAAAAAAACCACAAAGGAGACTTCTCTCCCAGTTTTATGTCATTCGTCCTCGGACAGACGCTTGCTCCGGGTTGCAGTCAGAGTCCACTGGCACAATGATGTGAGAAGCTTTATCTAATCTCTGCTAAGGATACCTTTTACTGAGTAGTAAGCTGTTTTTTTCTGTTGTGCATTGTTCCTCTGCAGCTTCCAGCTCTGCGTATTGACCACCATCATTGACTTGCCACCTTGAAATATTGACTATGTTGCAGGCTGCTGAAGACAGGACTGAGTAGACCTCCTTATAACCAGGGAGATGAAACAACACACCGAACTTTGGCCTAATGCTCTTATATAAATATATTACTACAGCGTGTGTGGATGCACCAGCTTCAGTCCTTTAGAGTTGAGGCCAAAATAGGGTCTTGACACTTGTTTCTTTATATTTCTGTGGCTCTTGCCCTTGCTTACATGTGTGCATGTTTGTGTATTGCGTTGCAGTGTGTGGGATGCTCTAACCGACAACTACATCTCCACCTGGGACGGCACCGACTCAGAGGGACTCAACGGCAATCTTTCTGAGCAGGAGGTACATGTCACATCACATCTTTCTATTTGGTTTAGATCTGCTATTAGCCTAATCATAGCTTTCTTTTTTATTTTGGAAAGAAGAATTTCATTTGGGTATTACCTTTTAGCCACATTTCTTTTTTAACCACAAGTAGCATTATTTTTCATTTGAGGTGCCAAACCGAGTAGATGCTGGTTCATTTTTTCTGAGGCTTGATCTCATGCTGACTCTTAAAGACGTGCTTGCCCAACCTTGACTGGTCTGCCATTCAGCAGAGGCCTCCCTCTTTCGCCCCTCTTTTAATTGGCAGTCAGTCCCATACAAGCTGGACAGCAGGCACTTAGCAGTCAGGGCCATGTTCGGGCTGGTCAAGGCCAGAGCAGACGTTTCAGCCTCAGAGGGTTCTTGTGAGAATGCATCATGGTGCTCAGATCCTGCCTTCAGTTGAGTGGTTGGTATTCTCTCTAAATCAAAAGGATTATACCAAAACAGGCCTGTGCACACTTTGAATTATTTTATTTTTCAACAAATATCAAATGGCAAATCTTTCAATGTACTTTCTCACTATTATGCTGAATCAATAATTAGCAGGACACTCAGACAAAGTCTTCCACGCTAGGAACTCTGTGAGGCTGTAGTTTGGCGCAGCAGTGCTTTGAGCTAAATGCTAACATTGGCAACATCCCTATAATGACTTTTAACATGCTGATGTTTAGCAGGTATCATTTTTAACATGTTCACCATCTTAGTTTAGCATGTTAGCTGAGTTAGTTTCCTGTATTTTTATCCACCCACATGTTGTTCATAACACTTCCAAATGAGGTGGAGGGATGGAGAGAGAGGCGAACACACTCATACCACGACCACTTTGGAGACAGGAAGTGTATACCAGAGTTCAATGTCATGTTGTTGACCTGATGATGGCGCTAGATGAAACGTTGAGGGATCACCATTGTGATTTCAATTCCTCCTGAGAGGAACATGAAAGTCTGAACCAAATTTCAGTTGTTGGTGTCGTTAGAGGAAAATGTAGCCACCTCCAGTTCTGAAAAGTGAAGGCAATGCTTCATGTGTTAAAGCTGCATTCTCTCTAATGTCCATCAGGGGGCGACTCCTCTGGTTGTATAGAAGTCTGTGAGAAAATGACTCTACTTCTCTCTTGATTTATTACCTCAGTAAACATTGTAAACATGAGTTTATGGTCTCAATCTCTAGTTTCAAGTCTTCTTCAATACAGCATGATGTTCATTTAGTAAAGTATGCTCCATTTAGAGTCAAACGGACCATAAAGCAGGGTATGCCTTAGGGGGGGGCTGCACTGTCACGGTCTGGGAGTTGACTGTGTTTTCCTCTTACAACTTTAAACCCTTTCACAGTGTGTTTAAGTTCATGAAACTTAACTGTAACATTTCGGTCTAAAAATCTCTTATTGAGTGTTCAGTTGTACTTAGTTTCACTCTCTCGTGCCTCTTCTGGTTGCAAAATACCAAGATGATGACAGCCAAAAAGTTAAATTCAAGGTTTTAAAACCATAGTCCACAAACCAATGGGTGACATCACAGTGACTACTTGTACATTCTGTGGTCTCAAAGTCATTATGGTACAACATCTGGGAACCATGAACGTTTCACTCTGGACCGGCAGATGGACATCGCCATCTCTAAAGCCAATGTCACAGATTTCTTCACATTACACTTAACTTCACATCACACTGCATGAAAGTCATATTATAATTTATAATTAATAAATAAGATATAAACTATTGAAACACTTTTACAAATGGAATATGAAATAGTTTTTTAAAGTGATACTAAATAATGTAAAACCTTTCAAATATTAAAGCACAAGACTTTCAAATGAGCATGACTGATCTCTCCTTCCCAGCGCAGTTCTTTTGGAAATTGATTGTGGATTTCGTTTATTATTCCAACGCAGATAGGCCATTTATGACTCTTGTTAGCCTCACTTTCTTCGTCAGACATGCTGTCATAGCCAATCTGTTTGTTGTTCACATGTTTCTTCTCATATTCTGCAGATCCATGAAAAAGAGGAGGAGGAGATGAATGAGAAGAATGACAATGCCAACTGCCTGAAGGAAGAGCCTCTCATCACAGCTGATCAGGTGTGTGTGTGTGTGTGTGTGTGTGTGTGTGTGTGTGTGTGTGTGTGTGTGTGTATAAGATCAAACAGCAGTTTGAGTGTCCTGTTTTTGATAATGAGGAAAAAGAAATCACGGTGTGACATGAGACTCTGAATGGTGCATGGATCCTTTTCATCTTTTACCTGACACCTTTTTTGTTTAAAATCATTTTGTTTGTTGGAATTACCATAACCTTCTTTTAGACATTTTAAAATCAATTCTAAATGCCACAGGTAACCAGTGCAGGGAGGCCAGAATGGTGGAAATGTGCTTCATTGTTCCAGATCATGTAAGAGCCCCTGTATTTTGCACAAGCTGGCAAGTTCATTGATTTCTGGGGCAATCCGGCGATAAGGAGTTCTGGTAATCTAGATGGCTGGAGAGGAAGGCACGAGAAAGGGTTTGTCCATCACACAGTGAAAGAAAGCTTCTCATCTCTGCATTGCTCCTGGACAAATATAATGTTAGCATAACAAAAGGAGAAAGGAAAGGACCAGGAATAGACCCCTGAGGAACCCTAGACACAAACTTTGCATTGCTAGATGTGGTTTTCCCATTTTGATTTGGTCTTTTTCTCCTGCATACTTTTTAAAGAGGTGCTCTTCATGTCCTGTACGACAGCGTGGCGTGTTGGACTGCTCTTTTATCGTGCTGGTACAGGACGTAGACAGATGCCTAAATCCAAGTCTGCCTCTAAGCAGACATCAATAATGGATTTAAGTTATATGTACACTTATACAGGAGGCTTCTGGCATTTTAGTGGCCACACTCTACTAACAAATGGATGCTTATGGATGTGTGTGTACTTACTTCTGTCTCCTAATCTCTTTCCTGTCCATTCACCTGTCTCGCTGTATCCTTCCATCTCTCTTTCTCTCTCTCTACAAGGTCATTGAGGAGATAGTCGAGATGATGGAGAACTCTCCGGATCCTGGCGAAACTGAGGAAGAGGATGAAGAGGAGAGCAGCCACTGCTCCTCCAGAACCAACCCCTCCCTGCTGGAGGAGATCAGGCAGCTGTCACAGGCCTCCAACAACAACTGCTCCTACGAAGGTCAAAGATAATCCGTTACTGTTTTAAAAAAATATGAATTAATGCAACTTGCTAACTGACACGAGGGCTGCGGTTAATGAGAGTCATTTGTAAATTTCCTCAGCTGGTCTGGGAGGTGAACATGCTGCATTCCTGTCAAAACATTGCTTCTTTTAGAGCTGCTTATGTGATAGTGAATCTTTTCTGGCCAAGTCTTTAGGTTACAAGTTAAGACCCCAGCCAGCAGAGTCCTTGCCATAGGCATCTCTATTTATAGAAGATCCAACAGGAAGGCCAGTTATGATGAGTGCATGGACAATGGTCAAGCATGGTCAGGGACAAACATGCACAAATGGCAATATACAGTATGTCCATCTTATGTAACAAGTTGTTAAATATCATATTCACTGTCCAAATCTTATTTTTGGCTAGAGATTGAAGGTAGATTAGTAGATTTAGTGATCCACATGGTTAGACTAGTCATGTCATTCCAGCAGGTCTATGGAGAGAGTTCAAGAGAACGAGGTGTTTTCTGCCGAAAGGCACCCTGTCACTGAACACAGCACAATATAATTATATGGTAAAGTATCTC